CCTGCTGTTTCAACCCTTTCATTGTAATCCCTCAGTGTACCATCCCTTATTCCACTTCCGGTCTGGTTCCTGTTCCCATTCCTCCTCCTGCCCTAACCCTCTGTCCTTTGTCCTTGGGTAAATGCTACCATTTGGGTCTTAAATGGTTGATTATTCTATTGAGGAGGTGAGTTCGGTTCCAGACCTGAAAGGTAAGAACTAGAGTCTTAAAGGTTCCATCAGTCTCTAGCCAGCCAGTACACCTGATCTCTTATGGCTTTGACTTCTGGTCCACATGTTTCTCGCGCTCTATGCAGGATCTTCTGATGTGATCCCATTCAGAGCAGTTGGTACCAGTAGCTAGGCATCATTCTAGTTCTTCTGGAGACTGCTGCCTGCATAGTCCATTAGACCACTGGACTGATGGTTAGAAATGTGTTTCTGAAATAAGTTTTCATAGAAAGTCAAGTCCTTGTGACTTAAGGAAGGTTTTACAGTTTTAGGTGATTTTAGCAAGTGCTCCTGTTTCACTGTAGTTGCTTCTAGTCCATTTTCTTGAAGAGCCAGCAAGGCGGCTTCTTTGCAGAGGTTTCTAAGGTCAGTTCCAGAGAAAAAACCTGTTCCTGCAGCGAGGCTTTCTGAAGCAACATCAGGTCCGACTGGCATGTTTTTTGTGCAGACTTCCCAAACAGAAAGCCTGCCCTTTTGATCTGGAGGTGGAATAGGAAGAATCTTATGTAATCTTCCAGGCCGTAGCAAGGCATCATCAGGTCTATTGTTTGCTGCAACAATCATGACCTTTTGATTAAAAACTTCTTGAAACCCTTCCTCTTCATTTTGTTTCAGCTCCTTGAGTTTATCCTGTTGATTTGATTGCCTTCAGTCCAACACCATCCAATTCATTCAGAAGAACAGAAAGAACTCGCTCTTGAACATCACAGCCAGTATTGCTGACTGATCGAGAACCCAAGATTGAACCAATTTTGTCCAAAAATATAATTGCTGGAGTGAGTATTTGCTGTTGTTTGTCGAAATGCCTGAGACAAGACTTTTTCTGAATACCCAACAAAAGGTGAGAAGAGATCAGCTCCACTGACAGACGTGAAAGAGCACCAGCAGTTGGTGGCCAGAGCCCTCACCAGGGAGGTTTTCACACACACCCCGGGGGTGGGGGGCATAGAGGAGAGCCCCCTTTGGCCCATCCTCACAAACTCTTGGGGGAATTTCAGAGGCCATTCAACCCTCTGTTTTCACTTCTGTTATCAAGACTGCCAATCTGCTCCCAGTCACCAGGTTTGATGTCCATCAATCCAATGGCACTGCGAAATGAAGAGGGCTGAATATTCTTAGAAGCTTCGAGGAAGTCTGTTTCATCAGTCACTGACTTGTCCCGATTCTCGTCACTGTGAAGCATAGCATGCAGGGCAGCCTCTCTACAGAGTGCTGTCAAGTCTGTGCCAACATAGCCAACTGTCATTTCTGCAAGGAGCCCCAAATCAACAAGACCGGAGATTGGCATCTTTGAGGTAATCACTTCCAGAATCGCTTTTCGTTGTTGAAGTGTAGGAGTCCCGATGACAACCATTCTTGTCTGGCAAGTAGTGTCAGGTGTCTTGAAAGCTTGCAAGTGGCCATGTATTCGTCTCCTGAATGGCCATGATCTCAGCAGCCAGGTCCTTGCAGAGGGCGGGACGAGGAGGAAGGAGAGAGCGTTTCTTTCTAATCAAGGCTTATAGAGACTTGGGGACATGCAAGCCCCTTGATGACAGGTAACCACATTGACAATAAGGATTTCTAAAGCTTGTATATTATCTCTGGTGGAAAGGATGCCAGATCAGTCCGAATACAATATGGCACCACCGAGGACCAAGCAAGGTGTGGTCCAGTTGTTCCTGAAGAAGATTGCCAATTTGCTACATTCAATACTGACTTGGTCATTTTTTCTGCAGAAAGACTGACTTACCCGCTGGAGTTTCCAATGCTAGCCTACACCTGATTAAAAGAGTCAGAGCAAGGGGCAGACTACCTGTTTCCGGGTGGATTCTTCCCATTTCCTGGCCTTTGAAAGGGCTTCCACAAATCTTCCACAGCTGTGTATCCTTGCAACCCTAGTCAGGTACGATTTCTCCACTGGCCTGGGCAAATCCGAGGGCTTCGTGTGGCTAACAGGCAGAAGCAGCGATTCCCAGGACACCAGGTGGCTATAACATCTTCTGTATTTTTGAATCTCTAGTGAAGAGGAGTCCCGCCCAGCCAACAACACTAACAACACCGAGGCTTGGGGAAAATCCGGAGGTGCGTTTTGTAGATCACCATAGTTCTTCACCCCGCACTGAGCAACAGTTTGTGCCTTGGGATGATGTAGACGTACTAATGAGTTCTTCAAGGGCGGGCCATGGCTCCTCCACATACTGGGATTGGTCTTCTGGGACTGAGTAGAGTGACAGCTCTTCGACCTGACGGAGATTTTGTTGGGGGTCCTTTGGAGCCGCCTAGGTTTTAAAGGTGAGGAGAGTCAGCCTGGGAGGCCTCACAGATCTCCAAGTGACCTTGGACATGTTGCTGACCGCCACAGCTCCGGAGGGTCACCCGACTACACTGCTTCTTAATATGACTGAACTATCGGAGTGCATGATATGTGGGTTATGTGCCAAGAAAAGTATTTTTAACGGGAGCGCTGGAGGGCAGCCCTTGCAGCATTTGGCTGCCAACTGAAATGCGGCCACTGAACCCCTGAGCAGCTCCTCCGGAGAAAGTTGGGACAGTCGGCTTCCGGAGATTAAACCCAAACCACAAAACCAAACCCACTGCCATCGAATCCATTCCAGCTCGTTACCCGTTGGACTGCTAACCACAAGGTCAGCAGTTCAAAGCCACTACTGTCTCCATGGGAGAAAAACTACTCTCGTAAAGAGTCCGTATTTGAAACCCACAGAGGGCAGTTCTATCCTGTCCTATCAGGTCACTGTGCATCTGAAAGGACTTGCCCGGAGTGAGTTTTGGCTATCCACCCCATGGAAGTTTTCCGAGGTGGTAAATTTTAACAGGAGCAGCTGCCGGCATCACCTTTGTCCCTCGGAGCCGCTTACCTAGAGGTCAGCAGCCCGGTGCTGACCACGCAGCATTACAGGGAAGCTACAGCACTACTGAGAAACCCACAGCTGTGGCTCTTCTCTGACTGGGTGAGCCAGCACTGCCTGAATGGCAGCAGGTGCCATGGAAACGCCAAGCTTATGCTTTGGGGGCTCTCATTGCCCTGGTGGGAGCCCTTAGGAATGAATTCAGGTGGCCACAGAAAGCAACCTTAGTGCTCACTTCGGCAGCACCTATACTAAAATGGGAACAATACAGAGAAGATTAGCTTGGCCCCTGCGCAGGGATGACACACAAATTCGTGAAGCGTTCCATATTTTTAAAAAAGAAAGAAAGAAAGCTCCCTTAATGGCCATCAGCCAGTGCGTCCCGCCCCCATTCTGCCCCCACCTCCTGTGCCAGGTGGGTTGGTGATGGCACCAGGGCCAGCTGTGGGCTGTGCTCCTCCATGCGCTGGAGCGTGGACGCATACGTGCATCACCGCAATATCTGGCGACTTCCTTCTGAGGAAGAGCAGCCCCTTGCCACGACTATTCATATCCCAGCAGGCTGGGGTCCCGTGCTATTGTAAGTTTTCATCAGCATCACGCGGTGGGCTGGGTGGAGCGAGCCTGAGTAAAGGAGAGGTGACACTTACATGCGCCTACCTCTGGTGCAGGGACAAGAGGCACCTGGTGACCATTGCCAGGGCAGCAGCAGATGACTCTGTCCCAGGGCCCCAAGTGACAGGCTGGGAGGGCAATCGCCCCGGGAGCCCCTAGTAGTCCGCACAGCATCTGAAGACCAGGGGACAGCAGGCGGAGCTCTGGGCGCCCAGAGCACCCTGGAGGAACGATGAAATAAAGGACCCTACAAATGCGGGCTTATTGCTTTCCCCAGAGCAATCTTTTGGGGAGCTCTGTCCTTGGGGGGAGAGGGGGCGGGGGCTGGCCCTTCCCAGCCCCCTCAGGCCACTATTTGGTGCGCTCAGGCTGTTAAACAAAATGTTATAAAACAAATAAAAGATTTCTCTGGAGAGTCTTGTAAGCAAGAGGACTTATGAGGTGGTGGAAATATGCTGGACTATTTCTAGATGGTATTATTGAATTAGATAAAAGTGTTTTTTTTTAATTTCTAATAAATAGGCATTGATGTAAGTTTGCGCTCCCTGGTGTCGTAGTGAGCTAGTGATGGGTCACTAACCAGACTGTCAGCAGTTGGAAACTACCAGAAGAGGCTTTCTGCTCCCTAAGGAAAAGGCATTCCAGGCTGTGAAATTCGCAGGGGCAGTTCTGCTCTGCCTGTCGGGTCCACAATGAGTCAAAATCCACTCGGTGGCAGTTTGCTTTTTTCTTTCATAACACTTACTAGCCCAAATATTCCAGGAGTTAATGAAGGCAATCTTGTTTGAGAAAGATTTTTCTTCTCTGTGGTTGTAGTGTAGAAGGGAGACCTCCGATATGATTTAAGGAAAGCATTTATTGACACGTGAACAGAAAAAGAGAAGACAAAGATGCATCATTGAGAAGAGGAAGACCAGTAGTGTGAGATCATATGGGCATCCCAACGCTGACAAAGAAGGGTAGGGTGAGGTCGGACCTGTGAGGACAGAGGAAACTGGAACGGAAACGTGATTGGCGTGAAAACAAGCCTTCCCACTCCCAGTTGAGACTATAGACGTGAAAATGGAACTGTGTTTGGGACATAGACATTGTGCTAGATTGAAGAACTCACAAGACTGGTTCAGTGACTTCCGACCAAGGCAGGCCAGGCACGACTCCGGACTGTGCCACCCCAGTACTCCAATGTGAATTGTAAGGCAAGCCCCAAGGGAAACTGCCCCTCCTTAGGCTGGCCAGGAGCGTGGTGGTAATCCACTTTCCAATGCACTCAGCCGGAGGGTGAGATTGTTCACATCCCTGGTTAATAAACCAAAAAACCAACTCCCAGCCATCGAGTCAATGCCAACCCATAGTGACCCTGTAGGACAGGGTAGAACTGCCCCGGTGGCTTGTCGAGACTGACCCTTGACAGGAGTAGGGAGCTTCATCTTCCTCCCATAGAGTGGCTGGGGCTTTCACATTGCTGATCTCTCGGATCGCAGCCCATCGCTAAAGCACTTTGCCCCCACGGAGCTCCTTCGTCCTGGTCAAGGGTGACAATGACTTCAGTGCAGCTTTAACGCAGGTCGGGACTCCGCAAATGGATTTGGGGCTGTCACTGTAACCCAGACCCTACTGCAAAACCGGAATTTAGACTCTTCTGCACTAGAGGATGATCATCTTAAAAACAGAACCCTTTAAAGTAACTTCAACCAAAGAAGTCCTCAAACTCACGGTCATTGAGGTGGTTGTGGGAGCACACAGCCCCATCTCTCTCTGGCAGAGCAACTGAGGGGTTTGAACCGCTGACCTTGTTCAGTGAGTAGCCCAGTACAACACCAGGGCTCCTCGCCATTTAAAAGATTTTGAGACAAGAAATATTCAAAGTTCTTTACAGTTTTTTTGTTTCATTTAATCAAGGTTATTGTGCCTCACAACTAAAAGTTTAATGGGATAATGCATAACAGTTTCCAAAAACCTCCACTATCACATGACACATAAAACAAAGAATTAGATTTATCATTGTTAAAATAATATTTTTCTTAATTATGATGTTAAATGATTCATCTCACTCTTTCTTCAATCTTCCTTGAAGGCAAGGGTCGACAAAATAAATCCCTGACTCAAAGCAAAGCTATGTGGTTTGGGAAAATGTATGTTTCATTTTCTCCAAGAATCTTTTATTTAAAATAACTAAAGTATTGTTTTCTAGTGCTATATATTAAACTCCTGACAAATCTGAAACTTTGAAGGAAGCCACAAAGGATTTGTTTGTGTTTCGTAGGAAAGGAAAATGTAAGGTGTTGAGATAAAATGAATGTTATTCCCAAGACTAAACAAGCTAGCACGCAAGATGATATCATGATTTCTTATTTTCATTGTGAACTTGGTCGGAACGTTGTTTCCTTTAAGTCTACCATCAGCAAAAACAGCAGTGTTTTGTTTGTATTTGTTTTTGGTAACTGGTATTTTTTCTTTTTCTTTTTTTGGTTACTGGTATTTTATTGGTTGTTTTGAGGATCAGTACAGAGACATTATAATTAATTTGTATGTCATTCTTTTTTCATGATGTTTGTTAGAATAAAATCAAAACCAAACTCAGTTTTCCAGCCATCAGTGGCTTCTGACTCATAATGACCCAGACAGGGTAGAACAGCCCCTGTGAATTTTTGAGACTGTAACTCTTTATTCTTTTCTTCAGGTTGTTAGAATAAGTAACCATTCCGTTGGCTCTGTTATCATCTCTTTTGATGCAGTTTGCTTGGAAGCGAGATTGGTAAGCACAATTATGTAACTAGGTCTCCTTGGTGGAGGTTCAAGGGAACACTGGACCGGGTGTGTTTTTAATGAGCATAATAACTAAGTCAGAAAACAAAGCAGTAGACCCTCCGTGAGTGCCCATATTGTTAAA